TCTCCCAGGAGAACAAGGTCGAGAAGCGGTCCATCTATGTGGACATGCGCGACGAGGATGATCCGATGACCAACTGGGACGATGCCAAGCTGAAGGAGGTGGTCGAGAAAAAGAGCTCCGGCGAAAAGCAACGTCCCACCACGGACATTGTGCGTTTGATGCTAAAAAATCCGCTGATACTCAAAACTAACATCACCCGTTTTTTAGATTTGCAAATTCTTCCTGGAAGCCGTGGAAAAGTCGAAGTACGGCTGGTTCTGGGAATGCCCCAACGGCGGAAAGTGCATCTACCGGCACGCCTTGCCAGCTGGCTATGTGCTAAAGCGCGATAAGAAAAAGGAGGAGAAGCCCACGGAAATTTCGCTGGTCGATTTAATTGAAAAGGAGCGCGCAGCCCTCGGTCCCAACCAGACGCGCGTCACCCTAGAGTCTTTCCTCGCCTGGAAGAAGCGCAAGATTGCCGAGAAGAAGGCCAAGCTGGCTGCCGAGGAAGAGCGCAAGAAGAGCGACTTCAGCAAGGGCAAACAGTTTGGCATCTCTGGTCGCGAGATGTTTAGCTTCAATCCGGATCTGGTCGACGACGGGCCGATGGAGGAGGGCGACGCTGCCTTCGACATCTACAACCGAGAGGACGACGACGATAATGCCGTTGAGTTCAAGGAACTGGATCTGGCTGCCCTGTCGCTGGCCGCCAAGGAGGTGGACGGCTCGGGCACCATTGCCTCCACCAATCGACTACTGGACCAGGCAACGGAAGCAGCCAAAACAGCCGCAGCCGAGGACGCAGCGGCCGACGAGGATGGCCCATCGTCGTCTGCACCCGCCAACGATGCTGCCCCCATCAACAAGGATCTCTTTGTTGATCTGGCCGGCGAACTGGATGACCTGGATCTGGAAGATGAGGATGAGGACGATGACTAGTTCTCCGCGGAGTTTGTTTGAAATGAGTTCGTAATGATTTCTGCCTTTAGCTACCCTTCAATCAATAAAGTTGTGGCTTTCAATTGTTGCATTTCTGGAAATGAAACGTGTGCGTTTAAAACCAAACTTTTACATTTCTGAACGACTACATGCCTAAGCACTAAATCTATAAAAAGATACACTCAACTTCGATATTACAAAACTAACTAAATCGCATGTCTACCAAAATCCTGGAGGCAAAACTCCGACGGCCTGTGGAATCTGGCGCTCGCGCAGGAACTTGGCTAGGAGCATTTCCAGCCGCGTCTTTGGACCGCCTTCATCGTACGCCGCCAGCTGGGGCATGTAGATGTTCTGAATGTAGACCAGCAGCTTGACGAACTGCTTGCCGTAGGTACGCCACAACTCGAAGCCGAGGGTCTGGAGAATCTCCATGATCATGGTAGCACTAATATCGGGCAATGGCTTTACATTCACCATGTGCGTTAGCCAGAGCCATCCCTCATCCAGCTCGAAGCATTGATCCGGTCCAGCTGCCTTTCGTCCTTGAGTGATTATCACAGCTGCGTAGAGCCGAGCGATTCCCGTTTGACGCTTAAGGTAAATGTCCGGTTTCTCCAGCTCGTTTTTGTCCGTCAGCCGATAGCCTATGGTCTTCAGATACTGCTCCGGAGTCTGTCCCGGCTGCTGGGGTATAACGTAGGGCACCAGAAAGGGCGACTCTTTGTACATGTATGCGAGGAAAACCTTGCCAAAGTCCGGCAACAGCTTCCAAAAAGTTATTATCACAGAGGCAAAGGGAAAGGCAGCCTGGGGATTGCTGCATATGGCAGTCTCCGTTTGACTAACAAACTTCTTTGCCATGAGTAGCATGCAATAGTCTCGGGCCAGCGGATGGTCGTTAATAGTTATAGTGGCTGCATTCACCACTTTGGTTGGCTGGCCGGCAAAAAAGCTGTACAACTTGTCAAAGTTCTGAGCTAGATGCTGCGGACTAACTGCAGAGATGGCGTTGAGCGGCAGGTTTATTGCCCTGTGGCAACCGGTGCGGTACTGCTTAAGGGATTCGTCCGTTTGCAGCGGCTTTACGGCATCCACTTTGGACTGATACAGAGCTAGAATATCATTGTAGAACTTCAGACGGTCTGGGTGAACACAGGTAGATGTCACTGTGGACGCTGGTGGCACATCCTGGGATTTTGGCTCCAGAGGAGCTGGAACCTTGGCAGTCTCGGCCTCTTGTTGGGTTTTCTTAGCCTCCAACTCCACCTTCTCCTGCCTTAGCTTTTCCTGCTCCACCTGCTTTTGTTGCTCCTCCTCCTGCAGCTTCTGCCGTTCTTCTTCCACCTTCTTAGCGGCCTCAATTTTAAGCTGCTGCTGGATTTGTTCGGAGAACTCGGCCAGCTGCTTTATGATGTCCAGCTCCAGAGCATCCAGGCTCTTGCAGCACTCCTCCGCCTTGATAATGGAGCAGAGGAACTGGCTCTGCATCTCGCACCTGCCCATCTTAACGGTGCTCACAAGCTGTTCGAATTTTTGCCCCAACTCCTTGAGCTGTGCGTTTTGTGCGGAGCACACCTTGACCGTGTCTTTATCCAGAGAAAGCAGAATTCTGGCAATGCCCTCGTACTTCTGGTTGAATCTCCTTTGGCAGCGAGAAACGCCCTCCAGGGCCAGCTTGTGCAGCTTCTGGTCAGTCTGTTGGCGCAATGCCAATTGCTCGCGCTGCTGGGCCTCCAGTTGTGCAGCAGTCATCTGTTCAGCTTTCTGGATGAGGAGAGTTTCCTTGCGTTCTCGTAGCACCTTTTGTTGTAACTGGTCGCGTTGGCGTTCCTCCCCCTTTTGCTGGGACTCTTGTGACAGGCGCAGGGCGTCCTGTTTGTCCTTCAGCGCCTTCAGCTGCTGGCGGACACACCTCTTGCCCTCCTCCGCCAGCTCACGCTTTACAATGCTGGCGTTGATGGCCTGTACGTCGGGAAAGCATGATATATTGGGCTCAAAATCGGTTCTGAGCGGCTGGGGAATCTCGTGCTTTTCTTTCTTGTGCTCTGGAGCTGGGCTTTCTTCCGGTAATGGGGGTTCCGGTGTGCTCTTACTGCCCTCCACCCATATAGGTTCCCGATCCTCGCCCAAAGTCCTGCCCGCGCACGTTGTGGATGCCAGAGCCGCATTATGCATCGTCGATGTCACCTTCAGATAGTCCATCGCCCGCATCATGTCGTCCATGCTCTGAAGGTATCACGTTTAGCGCTAATCTTAGCCCAGTATATTACTACGCTTACCGCTTTTTTTTTATTTCGAAAATGGCTTAACACACTTTAAAGTCAACAAAAATATAAGACAAGACTGCCAACCGAATTCGATATCATTCGCATCAGTATTCCGTTACTGTGCGGGGTTCGATATACGGTCTTACTTTATTTTAAAATGAACTAAATTGAAATGCTTTAGTGCAGCGATTCAGAACTTGAATTTTCAAAATAAGTGGTTGAAGTAGTATCCAACCTTAGTGTGATTACAGTAGCTGCTATAGTGTTTTATTCTACTTCACTTTACTTCTTTTGATCGAAAATATCGAATATCCTCGTTGATGAAGAAATTTGCGATACACAAGTGAACTCAGTATATTTGCGCAACTGTTTCACGGTCACTCTAGTCAAAACAACCAATAAATGAGGCGATTAAATAATTTAGTGACTTTCTTCACAGCCATAACTGCCTTCTTTTTCGGTAGTTTCATCACAAAGATCCTCAATTCCGTGGACCAATGTCCGGCGCACCGAAGCAGAATTCCCCACCTGGAGCCGCACCCAAACCTCTTCCTTATGGTGTTGGTGCTCAGCGCACCACACAATGCAGAGGAGAGGCAAGCGATGCGGAGCACCTGGCTGGCGAGTGCGGGCCAATCCCTCGCACAGCCCTATCTTCCCGAGGAGTTGATCTATCTTCCGGCATTTAACGCCAATGGCCACATGCAGATGGAGCTGGTTGCGGAGCAGGCGAGCCGCCTGAGGGAGTACACGAATTGGCAGAAAACCCTGCTGACGGAAGATCCCCCAAAGACACAGAGGCGGATAACCGTGAAGCACGTATTTTCCATTGGCACACTAGATTTAAGCAGCTCGGCGCTTGCAGAGCTGGAGAAGGAGCAGAAGCAACACAATGATCTTTTGCTGTTAAATCGGCACCACGACACATACAGGAATCTTACGGCGAAGCTCGTGCAGTCCCTAGATGTCTTGGGGCGCCACTACGACTTCTCATATGTGCTCAAAGTGGACGACGATACCTACGTTAAGCTGGACAGTCTAGTCAATACGCTTGTTTCCTACGATCGAAAGTTGCTGCGCAAGAGGTCGGAATATAGGGACACTGTGTTGCCTCAGCTCTATTGGGGCTACTTTAACGGCCGATCCACAATTAAAACGAAAGGCCAGTGGAAGGAGTCTAATTATTACCTTAGCAAAAACTACCTGCCGTATGCACTGGGCGGGGGATACGTTTTGTCCCGAAATCTGTGTGACTACATTGTCAATAACTCCCAATTGCTGTCGCCTTATGGGTCCGAGGATGTCTCCGTTGGCACATGGCTCGCCCCACTGCGCCACGTCTATCGGTGGCACGATCCCAGATTCGATACCTCCTACACACCGCGCAAATGTCGGTCCTATCATATGGTGTTGCACAAACGCAGTGCGCAGATGATGAGAGACATCCACGACGGTGAATTATGCAGTGGCATTGGCTCGAGCATATTGTCTGATTACTATTACGATTGGACGAGAACAGCGGACAAATGCTGCGATAGCTTAGTAGTGTAGCTATGTCTTGGGCTTTGGCTTACCCGCGCTGAACTGGCCATTCTATGGGATCTTCCTTTCCCTTAAGAACAGCTACCACGATTAAACTGGCTGTGCAGAGATCCTAGCTGCGCTTTGCTTTGCAGCAAGGGAGCTTCCTCCTCTGCGATCGCCAAGAGCCACCACTTGTTTTGCGGCAAGTGGGGCAAGTTTGCATGCGTAGAAATTAGTTTGAAATGTCGAGACTGCAATGGCAAGTAATAAAAAGGATTCAAGGTGTACACTTTACGCTACTTTACTCTTTCATGTACTAGGACATCATTCGGGGAGCAAGACAAGGTTAACAAATAGCATGGACACCTAAAAGAACTTAACGCCGTGGCTGCCGTCCATCTCGATTAGCTCACACCTGCCCTTCTCCTCCAGCAACCGGAGGGCACTAAGCAGGACCGCCTCGTCCACGCCGTAAAAGCCCAGGTGGCTATTTTCTTCGTTGGAGGCTATCTCGTACAGGGTGCAGATTGTGTTGGTCTGACCCGTTACCTGCACCCAATCGTACACCATGTTGCCGTAATCCTCCAAGGTGAACCAGTACACCTGCCACTCCTGGCGTCGCTTGTCCAGCGGATTCGCATGCCCGGTTCGCTCCAGTTCGCCCAGGATGGTCAGGACGAACTCCGGCGAGAGGCGGCGCTTCAGGGATTCGTTGTGGAATAGTGGCGAGTTTTGGTCCCCGATACTAAGCGAAAACCTATTCTTGTCCTTGAGGTATTTGAGAAAGAGATCTGCCCAGACTTCCAGCTGCTGTTGTCTGGTTTCCTCGTGGGGCTGTAGTCTGAGACCCTGGGATTATTCGAGTGATGGAGCATCAACTGAAGGGAACTCACGTAAAGAAGGGTGGGAAGTTGTACTGCCAGGGCCATGGGTACTCCGCCATGCTGATTAATTACGAACTAAACATTTGTTTTTCCAATCGAAGAGATTACTAATGGTTTAGAGTGACCATATGCGCAGCATAGGAAAATACCATGCCAATGAAAAGCCAAGAAATATATAAAAGGGTCTTGCAATAAGTCGTAACTTTTTAATTTAGTTAATTTATTAATGCAAGTTATAAAATTAGGCCATATTCATTTTCAAATGCATATCCGCAATAATAAAGTTGATCCGAGTGCCCTTATCTTATGCCGTGAAATTCCGATCGCGCGAAATTTAAAGATATTTTCTTTACTGTTTAATTTAATCTATTAGTTTAAACCTATTTTAAATTGTTAACTTATTTCCCAGAAAAACACACATATGTCATTTACAGTAAAATGCAATCCATTTCTTGTATTTTGTCTTAAATAGAAAAAATTGTGTACATTAACATTTTCATCGGGCTTTTTAAAAAGTTTGAATTGGGCGTCTGACTTTCAGTTTCGGTTTTATTCAAGATCTCAAATTTTTCAATGTCTAGAATCAATTTCGCGAGAAAGTGGTGACGAAAAAGGGGATTGCAGTGGCTTGCATCGTCAATATACACGCACATATATACTCGTATCTGATTAATCTGCTTTATTATAAGTAAAGTTCTAGGAGGCGCAACACTATACATTCAATATCTGCTATTCCGTATTCCTTGTCCACGTCCACATACGTGATTTCCGATCCAATTTATACACTTAATGTGTGACATGCTGCGGGTGCTTAATTACTAACTTTATCGATTGTGTGCTAATGGTTTCCTTCAAGTTTAACTTGCTGATCGGATCAAATGGGATCGAGCTGGGCCTGCTGCCCACGGAGCTTCCTTGGCTTGGTATGTACGACATATATGGTAATCATCTTGTTTGCACTATATTTTATTTGGTTTTTGTACACATGCGTGAAATTCTAGATAGAATGCCATTGAGGGGGAATAGGAATAGTTCAGTTTAGTGTGTGGATTTCAGCTGGCTAGTGTTTAAAGAGTTTTCAGTTAGTTCCTAGTTAACAAGTGAGGTTTGGTTGAAATCTTTCTTTGCTATATAGGTATTTCCGTATGCTGCTCTATCTGTATCGGTATCGGTTTCGTAAAATAATAAAGCATTTCACGAGCTCTTTCTCTCTCTCAAAAATATAAAGTAAATGCCCCTAAGTGTGCTTAAAGCATCTATATTGATGAAAATGTACACTTCAAATGCTTCGCTCTGGTTTGCTTACAACGTAGCTGAAATGCAGCAACAGAAAGGCAAAATATTTCCCCTAACATCTTATTTTCCTCTTGACTGGAAGGAATTTTAGTTCTATAGGTGGAAAACGGCAGCTGGATAGCAAAAAATTACAATCTTTCGAAACGTAGGTTATCTTTTTGGTTTATGAAACACAAAACAAATCTTAAGCCTGTGTGTATATATATCTTACGAGCATAATCAGCGTAAATCAAAAACAATTGATTCCTTACAAAATACATAAAACATAATTCGCCTGCATTTTATATATCATGTACATACAGTTCCTAGATCTTATACATATACATCCATCTATATACTTGATTTTCTGGTTGTTTAAATTAGTTTTTAAGTATTTAAAAATGGCATGTGGTGACATGTATTACAATACATCATACATATATGGTACATACATTTATATTTAATATCGATTTCCAAGTTGGTATAAAATGCATGCAAGTCGAAGAGCCCAATTCCAACCCCACATCGCTCCAGTTCTGGTTAAGCTTGCACGGCACCGCAGGGGGATGGATGTGCCCTATGGTCTAGGTTTGAGTTATTTCATATACATTTATAAAGTTTTGGGATTTTCGAATCACTGCACGTATAGCATGACAGCATGTTGTTTCACACAATGCTCCATATTTCGACTAACGACTAATACTAGGTATAGCTAGAGATCCTAAGCTACAATTTTTGCCTAAGACTGTTCCGGGGGAGTTGCGTTAACTGATCACTTAGCCAGTGGTTCCAGATAACATCGCACCGTGTTGTTCTCATCGAGCATGGCCGACAGATGGCGCTGCTGATGGTGCGGGGGATGCTGATGGGGATGCGGATGGGTAAGCTGGTGAGGATGCGGATTGGGGTTGCTATGTGATGTATGCGACGACGATGATGTGGTGGACTGTGGTGACAGTTTCTGTAGCTGCTGACGCTTCTGCGCGGGCGTCTGATTCGCCGGCGGCAGCGGTGGTCCCGAGTTGCCATGACCGAATAGATCATTTACCGCCAAACGGCCGCCAGGCGACTTGGCATTCAGTGCTTGCTGCTGCTGCCGGAATGCGCCACGCTTGGAGCCCTCACCAACGCCGCCGCTAACCCCAAAAACCGCACCGTTGTGCTCGGGTTGCGGACCTGCTCCTGGCGGCAAAGCCCCGTAGTCAAGGGGCGCTCCATGTTTGCGCAGCTGACGTCTGGAAAGGGGATAAATGAACGCAATATAATATTAATATTTTTCTTAACCTTCGAGCAACAGAAGTACTTACTGAAACCGCCGCTTAAAATCCTCGTCCTGCATCGCCATCAGACGACGCATCCGCTCATCACTCTGGGGTGGCAATCCATGAGCATCATCCTCCAAGTCGCTCTCGTCCTCCTCCTCATCCTCATCACAGACGCTGTCGTGCAATTGCTCCGCGGCCGTTGCCTCCTCATCCTCCTCCTCGTCCTCGTCGTCATCGTCATCCGCTGTGCAGCGTCGAGCCGATCTTTGCTGAGCCAGCGACTGTTGTTGCTGCTGCTTCTTGAGCTGCTGCTGTTGGCTCCTGGACGAGACACTGCCGCCACTCAGGCTTCCGCCGCCGTAACGACTTCCGCCGGCAGCCACTGCCGCTCTCATGTTGTTGAAGACGCCAGTGCCAACGCTATTGTTGTACACCTCGTCCACATCAAAGTCACCCACCTCGTAATGCTGCACATCCGAGTTGCGGTTGCTGAGGATCTCCTCGTAGACCGGCCCACCATCCGCGCCGCCGACGCTGCCCTGGTTGTAGTAGGCATCGCCCATGCCCAGATCACAGTTGGATTGCTTATTTCTATACTGACGCTGCATAAACTCCTGCTGGTACTGCGCCATGTGTGGCGGTGGAGCAGGGAGCTGCTGCTGGCTACCAGCTCGTCGTTGCAATTGCAACAAGTGAGCATGTTGCTCGACCTGCTCCTCGTCCGAGGAGAGTTGTTGCTGCTGCTGCTGTTGCTGCTGCAGATGTAGCTGCTGGCGACGCAACTGTTGCTGCTGCTGGTAGTAGGCAGCCGCATTGCCAGTGGCTAGTGGTGGGTCCAAAGCCTCCGCGTATTGCGGATAGCCGGTTGGCTGACCAGCCTTGGTCTTCTTGTACGATGGATAGAATAGCACCTGGGAGGCGGCGGCCGTGCGACTGTGCAAGGATCCACTCGGCGAGGCGGGAACTCCTCCGGCACCCCTCTTCTTCTTGCCATGCTGGCCACTGTTAGGCTTTTGAGTCCAGTAGAATACCTCGTGTGCCTGTTGCGGCGAGGATGCAGCAGCACCCGTGTTATTGTAGTACTCCCGCGGTGTTTTCAGTCCTCCTGTTCCAGTCGGTGGCTGCTTCCAGCTGTAGTAGTCCGGCTGATGGTAGTAAGACTCGCCCAAAGGCCCCTGTTGCTGCTGCTGTTGTTGTTGCTTGTGGGCAAAAATCAGGTGTGTGGACCCGGCAGAGCTGGTGGGTGAAGCATGACCGGTGGAGCGAAGAGTGCTGCCTCTTTCCAGCACAACATGACCGCCAAGGGTCTGCGGTGGAGCCTGTAGTGTGCCCGTCATCAGCCCGCTCTTCAGGGTTCGCCTTTGCTGGGCCTCGTTTAGTTCACAATCAGAGCTGGCTCCCATAATGGCATCCTCGGTGATGGGCACTGGCGTCTGCTGTTGCTGCTGAGGATCGTCATGCGCCTCTTCGCTTACTCCTATTGGTAGCTTGGGCTTCTTGGACGTGGAAACACTGCACAGGGTTCCGGCCGTGGGTCCATTACCGGTGACGATGCCCGACGAAATGGATGTTTTCGAGCATCGCAAGCACTTGGGCAACCAGGCATGCTGTCTCACATACTTTCGATACTCCCGGCGGATCTTTTCGTTTTGGATGCAATGGAACACGAAGATATAGAGCCCCAGCAATGTATTGAAGCAGATGAAGCAATACCCATACACATCAGCCGTGTCATCGTCCATTTTGGCTCCTCGCAAATAGAAGTAGGCCGAGCACCAAACAGCGCTGAGCAGCAAGAGGAACACAAAGGAGCAGCGTATGTCGAACCTGGGGTTAAGGATAGGTGGGTTTCAAATGACCTTTAAATTTTATATGGGTTTTCAGTATCTTACCGCACGCTAGCGAGACGAGTATGTTCCTTAGTCTTTAGACCCGTGCGACTTTTGCGGCACATTATAATCCAAGAGAGGAATGTGTAGCCGATGGCAGCCTGAAAATGTGAATACATTTGAAATGGTACTGCTCTTGATTTCCTTATTCTCGTTAAAGGTAATTAAAAAACTTACCACAAAGAAGACAAGCACCGGCATTACAAAGGTGGCATAAAACAGGGCGTTCGCCTCCATGAGCACGCAATAATCGTTTTGGGTGTAGGTGCTGGGATCGATGACCAGCGAGATGGCCACCACGCTCAACGACAGTCCGTAGGACAAGAGATAGTAGCAGTTCACCTTAGGCGTCTGGTCCACCTCCAGCAGGAGCTCATCCGAGGTGAGCGTTGAGTACGAATGGAAGGCTGCAGAGGCAATGGGTTAGAGCTGCAAGGTGTAGACGAAATTTGGCCTGCTTACCTTCGTAACAAAACCAGGCGGTGCCCGATAGGATGGCACAGTGGAGGAAAATAGTTATGAAGCCGCAGAAAATGCTTGTTTCGGTCTGTTCAATGCCAAGTAGAAAGAGCAGCTCGATGGCCAGGAGGCAAAGGTAAATGCTGGTATAGATCGAGGTGCGGGCGGACTGGAGGGGCAAGTTAAAAAAGAAGACAGAGTGGAAAGTTAAAATAAGTTTAAGAAGTCAGTGCAAATTTTTCTTTAAGCAGCACCAGCAGAAGGA